TAACTTTTAATTGCCCTATTAATTACTGAGGGAGGAAATAAAGGAGACCAGTGTAAGAGATCTATGATCTGAAGCACAGCTGAGACCATTTTATTATGTCAACAAGATAAAGTTGTCATCATCAAAATTAGAACTATTATTGGTCACATCCTATGAGACTGTACTTTGGATTTAGCAGAAATAGTCATAGAAGGACTGTAAGCATTAAATCAACATCCTGCATAGCAGACTTTCTATGACTTGGCTTTATTGCTAAAGTTCTGCCTGCCAATATTTTTAGAATAGGTGTGTTTATAATGTGCCTTTTCAGATAAAGTATGGATTTTGCCACAATGAACATTTTCAAATAAGTACTATAGAATGCTGGAGAATTTTACATATGGTATAAAATGTTTTAATCAGTACTTGCTGATACTGTCAACTGGAAGGACTGTAGAAGGATTGAAGAAACTGAACCAATAAAGTCCATGTGTTTTCCTCCATTGAGGAAAAATATTTTTGTTTTGAAATGCTGCTACGACTGACTTGGAGTCTCCCTGTTCCTCTAGAAGCTTGTTAAGGCTTGGGTATGTTCTTTAAAGTAGATCTTTATAACATGCAAAATAGTATGTTAAAGTGGGTTTTTTTGTACCATTAATTTTTTCTAATGTGAAAACACAGGGGATGGTATGGTCAGACCCAGATATCCATTCAGCTCAGTGTTGTATTTCCAGCAGTGGTCAATAGCAGAGTTTTTTCAAGAGGTAAAAGGTTGGGGAAAGTGTATAAAGATACTTCCACAGCCTTCAATTTTACTTAAGACCTTTCTGAACTGGAGGAGGTCTGTTTTTTCTAAATCAGCTATGAAGTCTTGAGAACTTACTGAGAAACACTTACTGGGGCATGTTTCAGTAGTAGTATGACAGACTTGGTTGGCTTGGTCTAAATGTTCATGTTTCTATCTCTTAGCTACAAGCTAATAAAATGTGTGTTGTCCAAGTAAAGCAAAATATATAGTTGCTGTTGTATTGTGTTAGTCATTTCTAAAACCTCTTCAGTGGATTTCAGTTAATTATGAGTACTTATGAAGGATAATGTTGTTTTTACAATAATGTGTCCACTTGGATGTGTTTCAGTGTGATCTGCTCTAGGGGTTCCTGCTCTGGCAGGGGATTGGACTAAATGATCTCCAGAGGTCCCTTCCAACCCCTACCATTCTATGATTTTCACTTCCAAAATGAACTCAAAATGTGGTTCTGCCAACTCCTCTTTTCTAAAACCACATTCAATTGTATGTCCTAGAACTTGAGCATAAGATTTTTCACTTTTCTTCCATCTGAAGTAGAAGAAATAAGTATGAAATTATTTGGATTCAATAAGGTATCTGATAAGACTTCTGAATCTAAGGTGAAAATAGTAGAATGCTTCTTAAGGACTTTCAGACACATTTATCTGGTTCCTGTTTCTCCTGATCTTGTGTTTTAGGATTGTTGTGTTAAGGACAATTACAGCAAACATTTATATTTACTTTGAGTCTGACATTTGATCTTACATTGATTATATTGATTTACTATAGACAAGTAGAGCATTACATTGTTCCACATTAAACTTGGGTGTTTATATTGCTTTAGCAGAGGGAGCTGAAATCCTGGCTTTTAGTTCTGCCACAGGAAGATTAATTCTACCTAAAGATTAACGTAGAACAATTTTACTTTTTCATTATCTGATGTATCTAGAAACATTTGGTGAATTAACTGACTAATCATTTCTTAGATCTCTCTACTATGATTAAATGTAAAGAAAATAATCCATGCAGTTATTAATTCCTCCAGTTAAACTCCTGGGCTGTTGTATTAGCTTCATCCTTGGTCTGAGAACATGGGATTTAATCTCTAGCATTACAGGAGGCTTTAATCACATGTTTATTTGCTATTTGTGATCTAGGAAATGTCATAGCTCCATATAGCTAAGCAGACAATGTAATCTAATGATTAGGAGAAGGCAAATCTTCCTTTCCATTTGACCTTGAAAATCTGATTGGATTTCCTGTGATCTGGTATGATTTTTTCCCTAATTATCTGAAATTTGCTATACAGGAGAGATACTGAATGAGCTGTGCAGATTTGGGTAAAATTCTAATTCTATCTTTATTTCATATTAATCTTAGATTTGAGATGAAAGAAATCATAAAAAATGACAAATCTGAGAGGAAATATGGTTTCAATGTAAATTTTTTTAGTAATTCAGTGGACTTGACATTGCTCACTCAAAAGTTAGAGTAAATAAAAAGGTTCTTTAAACTGTTGATGAAAAGTAGCTTTTTGGGGTAGGAAATGAATATATGAGTAATGAATACATTTCTTTTAAAATTTACTTTGCTTCAGGTTGATTTACTAGAGCAAGAATGTTCTTTCTATGGCCTTTAAAAATAGCATTATTCTGTCATATCTAGCATCAATCAAGTTGTTGCAGTCCAGTATTTGAAGGACTTAATTCAAATAACTTATATAGGCTAAAACATTTAGGAAATGTATTGATCTTTTAAGGAATTCATTCAGCTGGCTCACCTGACGAATGTTGCTGAGAGACTGTTAGTACTTTGCTCTTAAGTCTTAAAATAAATTTTAACATGGTTAAGTCCATTTGAGACATCTGAATGCTCCTGAAGCAAAACTCATACTTAGATGTAATACATCCTGGCAATTTCTAAGAATATCCTTAAGCTGTTAATTCATTAATGAATTAAGTTGTGGTTCTAATTTGAAATTCCTTACTACTATAAAAATGAAATGTTAATGAAATGAGTTTCAGGAGCGCAGGGGCATTGCAGTGAATGTCAAGCTGTGCAGCTACACACAACAGTCAAATTTTCAATTTTATCAGTTCATAAAAACATGGTGGGATATGATGTTACAGGTGCTTTTAGCTTGTAAGTTTAGATCACTTCAGGAAAAAGCCCTTCACTGTAATAGTGAGTATAGCTACTGGAAACTAATAAAGATCTCATATCAGACAGGAGTCTGTTCCAGAATAAGCTTAATTTCTAATTTTGAACAGAACCAAAGCATACTTTTCTGATTGTTCTGAAAAATTCTACTCCTAATATTTAGTCAATACTGAATTATGTAATTTAATTTTGTTGTTGCTTCAGTCATAAAGTGGATGCATTTTTGTTACAACTTTAATATTTGGTGTTTCTTGATGTAGAATGTTGCTAGAAAACAGTGTACTTTCTGATCAGGTTTGAGCTTTGAGAATTCATACTGCTAATAGTGTATACCAATTGCAGTGTGAAAAACAAGTGTCATGCTTGTTTTACACTTGAAAAACACACAAACCTCTGACTAGTCTGGATTTCCAAGAGAAATCAAAGAACTTCATCATAACAGACCTTATTAAATCAAGAAGCAGAGGTGTTACAAAGTAGCTCACTTGTATTTGAGAGGTATGATGGTACTACACTCTTGTCTGAAGATAATATTCAGAACCTTTGACTTAAATACCAGACACCTGCTTTCTGAGGGGGAGTATTTGCTCTCTACAAATACCTAAAAGGAGGTTGTAGTGAGGTGGGTGTTGGACTCTTCTCCCAAATGGATAATAAGACTAGATGAAGTGGCCCAGAGTTGCACCAGGGGAGGTTTAGGTTATGTATGAGGAAGAATTTCTTTACCAAAAGAGTGGTCAGGCACTGGAACAGACTGCCCAGGGGGTGAAGGAGCCACCATCCCTGAAGGTATTCAAGACACATGTAGGTGTGGGTACTCCAGGACATGCTCTAGTGGGTGTGGTGGTGTTTTTTTCTGGGCTGATGGTTGGACTCGGTGATCTTAGAGGTCCTTTCCAATCATGATGATTCTGTGATCATGGCCTATAAAATGTCTTCAATTTCAGAACTTCAGTGTAACTTCACATCTATTTAATTGCTCATAATCCTCTAGTCTGTAAAGTGGCATCTATGAGGAATATGTGAATTCCAGTTGTACCTGGATTCAGCTGTTAAAATGTGTTCCTCAGTAGCTGTCAGCATGTTTGCTATAGGCTGAGGGGTTTGGGTTTTTTTCTGAGCATTCTGCAACATAAATGACATTTCAGAGGAAGGTTGCTTTGATAGGCCTCCTCTAGAATGTTTACATTACTAGAATCCATAGGAATTAAAAACTTTCTAAGGATTTAAGATTTGAAAATAGAGCTGGGAAAGGCTTTTCTTTCAAGAAGCCTTCAAGTAGTGTTAGAGTGGTTTGGCTTTCTTGGTTCTTCAGTCACTGAACTTTAACTTGAATAAAACCAATTCTATTTCCTGTTCTGTGCTAGTGAGGTGAAAACCAGCATGGAAGACTGGAGCTTCATTTATTGGGAAAAATATTATCTTCATTTCTGTTGTGGTAAATGGAGATGGACTGGTATTCATTGAGCAAAACTATTTGGGGAGAATTATACTCAAGAATCAGTTTTGTATGTAGTTATGGAATGAGTCATGCAGCCTGTGTTTGAACCTCTGCATCTCATTCCTAATCATCATTGGTTTAAACACAAATCACACCCAGAAATCCGAGATTAATGTGCCTCAATTACATTCTTGAAATTTTGAATGCTTGATTTGACACTTGCTCATAAGTACACTGTAGACAAACACCCTTAAAACTCTGTACTTTGTATATAGTATAATGGATAAAATAGTCAAGTATTAAAGTATAGTTAGGATTTTAATTTAAAAATGAATAAGTGTTTAAGAAGAGTTCTTCCTGCTTAAGCCATATAAAATGTAAATGTATCCTAAGCTAACAGTTAATGGTTACTAATTCAAGGTGCTGATATGAATATGAGTATTAAAGCTTGAAAAAACAAAGCACCATTTAGCCTATTGATCTACGTAACTAATTGTTTGTATTACACATTATGCCATGTATACTATGCCACACAGCATTAGCTTTAAAGCTTTAGATTTATGCTGCCTTTGAAGATCCTCAGCTTTTGGATTGTTGTATTAAACTGAGAAAACAACTCTTTTCTTCTAACAGAAATTGAAAAATTCCAAAAAGGGGAAGGAAAGGAAGAAGAAAAATATATTGATGTAGTCATCAATAAGAATATGAAGTTGGGACAAAAAGTTTTGATTCCAGTAAAACAATTCCCTAAGGTAAGTCTAATTTTCTTATTTGATAAATCTAAGGCCATATAAAAGATATTCCACTAATATCTTTACTAGCTTTTTTAACTGTTAGATTTTCAAAAGTATTAATAATCTCTACTGTTGCTGTTCTGCAGTCTGTTCCATAGAAGTTCTAAGATAGGAATGGTTCTTGTTGGAATTAATGTGTGGGAAAGCAGCCTGGACACACAAATGAACAGCATGTTAAGAAGAGATAATAAATTATTAATTTTCAGGATAGCAGGATCCTCTTCAGAATAACAAATGGAATGAAATATATTTAAGTTGACTCTGATACCAGGCTATGGAACTTGCTTATTACAGGTAGAAGCACAGCTTAAAATGCACCTTTAAAGGAAATCTATGTAAACATTTTCTTCTTATCCTCTTAAGTTTTAGCTGTTGTTAACCTTGCATTAGTTAGACCTGCATTACTAAATTATTCAGTCTATTTTGAAGGGGTATTAACATATTTATATCTTTGACCACCATCATGAATTCTTTGCACTTCTTTACTACAAGGTATTATCCTGCACTAAAATATTGCTCCCCAGAAGCATTCAACATTCAATGGGCTGGGGAAACATTCTCTTTTGGTACCTTTTTAAACGTTAAGGTTAATGTTATGAAAATTAGCATTTTCTCACTTGTTTGAAATAGCTTTTGCTTCCTGCTATGAATTTCAAGAATACTTTTGTTTCTGGTCAAGGAGGAATTTAATTCCTTTATACCTTCCTCCATTTCTCTAGGAAGACTTTTTTTCCCACCCTATCAGTGTTTTTCTCAGTCTGCTGGGTAACTTGAAGGGGTTGGTTTACTGCTGTGAAAAGTTTTGTGAAATACTGTTGCAGTCAATTCAACTTTGCATTACCATTTATGTGGGCACTTTGTTGGAACTCTGATTTAGAAGTAATTTCTTTTTTTTACTGGGGAAAAAACTATTTACAGACAAAGATAAAAACAAGGGAAAGTAAAGGGTAGGGGAAGTTTATATAGTGTTTGTTATATATGTGATATTTTTCCTGTAAATGTTGAGCTGTAGATACTTAAGCTCAAGAGGAAGAAAACCAAATAGGTATTAAAATGGGAAGTGGTGCCACTTGAGAGATTCTTCCACTTCTTTACATAGAACCCTTTCTTTAAAGGGCTAAACACTTAAATTCTTACTCAGGGTAGCTAGTAGTAAAGCCCTTGCCATTTTTTGAATGAGGCAGGTATGCGCTCTCGTGCTCAGTAGTTCTGGTCCATGGAAGTATTCTGACTGCCTGAGCTGAGATTAAGCATGGTATCTGCTTTGGAAATAAACTTGAATTTATATCCAGATAGAGCTTTGTTATCCTGCATGTCTGTTTAGATCCTCCAGGAAACTGCAGGATAGATATGCCATTTGAGGTCTTATGTCTCCACTTGGACTTTCCTCACAGAAAGCAGGATACTGGTATCTGTTCACACAAATCTCCCTCTGCCACAGAAAATAAAATCCTAGGTATTTTCTATTTAGGAATATTTGTACCCCTAAATAGGGGGGCTCAAGGTTTTAGCAATTTCAATTTCATAACATATAAGTGGATATTTATTTTAGAGCTTGCTCATTAAAGAATCTGCACAGACAAAATAATTAAAATTTCTTACTGTAATCTGGGAGGTAAGTATGAATCCAGATTTATTACAGTAACTCTTGAGCTCTGAAAAATACCCACTCTAAATCTCAAGCAGTCACTGCTGTTTAGTATCACTTGTTTACTAGGACTTGTGGCTTTATTTCTGGGATCTAATCTAAATAGATTGTATAAAGTGACATGGCTTCAACATGGCAAACAGCCTTTTCCTGGCATACTGTAGTCTGTAGTGAGTGTCACGAGTGCTAAATGCTCTGTGCACAGGGGAAGAGTCTTTCTGTATCCTAATGTTTTCTCTAAAGACTAATTCTCTTCCTGTTAAGTGCTTTCAGAGGAGGGCTTGGAAGTTAGGGATGCTTTATCAAGTTATTTTGGTGTAGATATTAAATTATTCCAGTTACCTTGGTCTTAGTGAGCTGTGTTTAGAGTTCATGCATTGTATACTCAGATTCTGCAGAATCTAAGCAGAAGGTATTACATGGTGCTTGTTAAACCTAAAATGGTGCTTTACAGCGATGCTTTATGCTTCTTCTTTCCTGTCCATTTATGCAGTTTTCTAGACCATTGTGCCTACAAAATGTAATAGTCCAAGTGTGTCTTTTGTTGAAGGCACCAAATTATAATTTCTGAGAAAAATTAAGATTTGGCTCTGATTATGAGCAATTTGCTCTTTCCTCCTAATCAGGATTGGTGACAAATGCTTCAGAAAAATGGAAATTAAGACTTATATATGGATGAAATCTGCAAAAAAAAAAATTCTGCATGTGAATAATTAAATTTAGAGCAGTTCTATCAAGCTGGCATCTGTTTCTGTATGCCTCTAGACCACACTAATGCTGTTAGCTATTCTGCAAGATCCTGAACAAAGGTACTTTGGTCTTTCAGATCCAGATTTATTACAGTAACTCTTGAGCTCTGAAAAATACCCACTCTAAATCTCAAGCAGTCACTGCTGTTTAGTATCACTTGTTTACTAGGACTTGTGGCTTTATTTCTGGGATCTAATCTAAATAGATTGTATAAAGTGACATGGCTTCAACATGGCAAACAGCCTTTTCCTGGCATACTGTAGTCTGTAGTGAGTGTCACGAGTGCTAAATGCTCTGTGCACAGGGGAAGAGTCTTTCTGTATCCTAATGTTTTCTCTAAAGACTAATTCTCTTCCTGTTAAGTGCTTTCAGAGGAGGGCTTGGAAGTTAGGGATGCTTTATCAAGTTATTTTGGTGTAGATATTAAATTATTCCAGTTACCTTGGTCTTAGTGAGCTGTGTTTAGAGTTCATGCATTGTATACTCAGATTCTGCAGAATCTAAGCAGAAGGTATTACATGGTGCTTGTTAAACCTAAAATGGTGCTTTACAGCGATGCTTTATGCTTCTTCTTTCCTGTCCATTTATGCAGTTTTCTAGACCATTGTGCCTACAAAATGTAATAGTCCAAGTGTGTCTTTTGTTGAAGGCACCAAATTATAATTTCTGAGAAAAATTAAGATTTGGCTCTGATTATGAGCAATTTGCTCTTTCCTCCTAATCAGGATTGGTGACAAATGCTTCAGAAAAATGGAAATTAAGACTTATATATGGATGAAATCTGCAAAAAAAAAAATTCTGCATGTGAATAATTAAATTTAGAGCAGTTCTATCAAGCTGGCATCTGTTTCTGTATGCCTCTAGACCACACTAATGCTGTTAGCTATTGTGCAAGATCCTGAACAAAGGTACTTTGGTCTTTCAGGAAGTGTTTTTTATGTTGGTGAACTACTAATCTGTTTGAAGCTGAATAAGTCACTGCATTAAATGATAAATCTGTCAAACTGTCTTTGGGGTACCAGTTTGGGTTGAATCTGTCAAACTTGGGTATCAAGAAAGTGGTGAGTAAAGATTAAGTTTGTTTCAACTTTGAGAGCACTTCTCCAAATAAACATCCTTTTCAACAGGATTGAAAAAACAAGTTAAAGTTATTAAATCCTTAATGGGGCTTAGTATCTGAAAAAAGAAACTAGCTGCAAATAAGTGATTCTGTTAGCAGAAACTATTCCTTTGTTTATCTTTGCCAGTGATGACTAGCAAACAAAGATACCTTTGCTCTTTAGGTGTATCAATAGGATTAATGAAATACCAAACATATATATATTTTTTGGTGATAAGAGATCTGTGGACCAAAACAGCCTCCTAGTGCACTGCACCTGTTCAGGCAGCTTACTAGACCTGACACAGGGTTAACTAAGTTTACTTTACATGTTTCATTGCCTTTTCCCTCTAAAAACTTCTGACTCCTTGAATAAATCATAATGGCCTCAACATGGGTCAGGCAGTCCTAGCTCTGATCTGATAAGCTTGGCACTGTGATGCCTGCTCACTTTACCTGTCCTGTCAGATATATTCTCACTGGCTCCAAGCTGGGTCCTGTGCAAATTCAGCCTCATTACCTCTGACAGCCCTGGGAGGTGGCAGGTTAACTGCAACAGAAAGCTATTCAACTGAAGCTCAGAGCAGCTGTGTTATTAGAAAAGTATCTGGTAGAACTCAGATTCAGGAGTAGGTATTTCACATGTTGTGCACCTTTGCTCTCCCTGAAAAAAACTTATGAATTTCTGCTCTTCTGCTTAGTATGCAAAGAGTTGAATGTCTATGTTGATGTGCTAAATTTGCCTCCTACCTAAACAGCTTGTGGTTACTTCTGAAGTGCTATATATTTCTATATTTTAGTATGGGACCTTTTGTCTTGCTCAAACTTTGGCAATGTTAATAGGCCTAATTTCTCATCTTAAAACTAGTTGTCCTAAATGTTTTTTAATGTGTAGACCTTGAGAGGTGATAAGAGTAACCAAGACAGCCTAGGTTTTGTCTGCTTTATGAAGTGATTAGTCACGGTAGTTGATCCCAGGAGTTATGTTGAGTTTCTGCTTGAGGCTGGTTGTGCATTTGAATTAATTTCTTTGTGTTCTGTACAGATTCCTGCAGACACTAAAAACATCTGAATTAATGTCTTGATATGGTGACAGTCTTGGTATGACAATACCTTGTGGGAGCTTTTCTATAGGTCATTCCAGTCAAATCTTCTCAAAATGTGATTTGTATACCATCTTTTTAAGAATTTCTCAGGTTGGTCCACCTCTACAGGTTCCTAAGAAGTGTCTGAATTGCTGTGATATGAAAATGAATCTCAGGTATTTAGGTGAGGCTGAAATATGACTTGGTAATGCTTTTGACAATCCTCTTGTAACTGAGACCTGCTACAGGCAAAGATTAGAGAGGTTAGGACTTTTATGCAAACTTACAGGTAAAGGACTGACTTTCTGAAGCAGGTTTCAGTTCTAAATTTAGTTAACTCGTATGTAGGAGTGTATGTGGATGCTGGATGCCTAAA